TATACTATAGCGTTAAGTGTTCAGTGTAAATTTGTGAGCTAATCCTGAAACTATTATAACAAAATTCTCGAATGTGATCTGTTGGACCATTCGCGTCATATGCGCACGCTCTCGTCGTGCTTTTCGCTGAAACTTATTACCGATGACTAGTTTTTTTTCCCTCAAAGTTTGTCACAGTTTTCATTAAGGTCATTCCCTTGTTTTGCACTGCGTAAGCTTTTCTGCGCATAACATTGCGACATCTAAGATGGCGGCTGTTCTTCCCGCTAGCGTGAAAAGAACGGACAAGGGACGCTTTTGCAGAGTGAAAGCTTTTTTTCATAATAAGAATGTCGCAAATCGGCTGACAGCTTCCCGGTCTGCTCTCGAAAAACAAGAAAATGAAAAAAATGTGTGATCTCAAAACCCTGTCCACCTTTCACGGCAGTTTGTGAGGAAACAAGCACGGTGACACCCAATTTTTTTTTTCAGGTATTTGTTAAGAACACTCTAATAAAGAACATATTTGAAGGAAAAAAAGTTTGATAGTAGAACATGATTTTTTTTCGAAAATAGTTCCGTACTTGGTGTATTTTGGCCAAGGCGAGGACTTCAAGCTAACCACGAAACTGTCCGAAAAAGTGCAAAATCCCCACAACCAGGTAATCAAAAACAGCTAAAAATAAAGCACTACTGCTTATTTTTAAAAAACAAGTTTTAATTTAAAAAGAAAATTTTGAGTCTTTCAAATTACTAGGGCTAAATTCTGTATGAAGGTGATTCGAATTTTTAACGCGCAACCAGTAAAAACACCCCATTTTAAGAGCCCGCTGACGCGTAAACAAGCACGATGACCCCATTTTTTGATTGCATTTTTTTAATGTTTATATCATGAATGTTAATTATACCAAGTTTCAAAAAAGGTTTGGTAGTAGAACAATTTCAAGGGAATTACCTTAACAGGTAATAAGACTTCGTGTCGTCCAAGTCTGTCTGTAATCATACTCGGGCGTGTTTCACAAATTGGACTCCGGCTCGCTCAAATGATTACAAACTGAATTGGACTCCACTAAGTCCTAATACCATAACTCATTGTATCATATCAGTTACATAAATAGATATGAAAAAAATAAAATAATAAAAATGAAATATGCTGTTCTGCTATCAGTTACCTCATTTATTGTACCGTAAGGAAAACTGGAATTGGGTATGAGGGACTCCGTTGAAGTCGCAAATCGGCATTTCACCGTATCGCCATCTGGGTCTTCAACCGGTATTCTAAATGACTGACGACAACCTCCTGGAAATCGAACAATGGGTGGGCTTCTTGTTACTGGAGATGAATTGATTTTTCCGTTATCTGATCGGGGAGAGAGGTTTACCGTGGTTCGTATATGCCAGTTACTAACACTTGGAGAATATCTGACAGAAATCCAACAGCACTTCGAGTAGCTAAAATATCAAAGTCAAAGCATCCAATTAGTAGTGGACCAAGACAACAGTTTATCTTCTCTTGTAGTGAACTGATCACTGTGATTGTAATGTGGTTTTAGTTTGCCAACCCGTAATAAGGAACTCTGAAGTTGCCAAATTATCCACAGGGTTCCCGCGCTCCTTGAAAGTCCATGAAAGTCCTTGAATTTAAGTTTTTGTTTTCAAGGACTTGAAAACCCTTAAATTTAGTCTCAGGCCCTTGAAAACTTCTGAAAAAGTCCTTGAAAATAAGTGCAGATGAATCAAAGTTGAAGTTTTCCTTTGTTTTTGGTGTTGAAAGTGAAAGTTTCTAGCACAAATAGTGAAAGCGAGTTTTTCTTTCAAATCGCGCTTCCGATTATGATGTTTGACACGTGATAATGAGCAATGCTTTTTCATTTCTGTTAGCTACTATTTCATGTAAAAGGTCCTTGAATTTGAGAACCAAGGTCGTTGAAAATGACCTAAAAAGTCCTTGAAAGTCCTTGAAATTGGGTTCCTGAAAAAGTGCAAGAACCTTGTATCAAGCCTTAGATCCTGAAACATGTATTTTGAAATGCTTCATTCCTTATCGTCCCTAGATTTCCCAAAATAAACCTTAAGAGCAGGTCAGTATCAGGCTTGAACAGATTCCAAATGAATAAAGGCTGGTAGTTTCTAAAGAAACTGTTTGGGGCTGCGTCGGTGGGGGGTAACGAAATAATTTCAATATATTAACAAAGTTGAAATGGTAAATTGGCCA